GTTAAAATTAAAAACTTAATGAATGTGGCTAAATAGTACAAGTTAACACTGATTTTATTTTTTTGAGATGGGGTCTCTGTTGCCCAGGTTGGAGTGCAGTGGCACAATCTTGGCTCACTGCAACCTCCACCTCCCAGGCTCAAGTGATCCTCCTGTCTCAGCCTCCCGAGTAGCTGGGAAAACAGGCACGCACCATCATGCCCGGCTAATTTTTTATAATTTTTGTAAAGATGAGGTTTTGCCATATTGCCCAGGCTGGTCTCGAACTCCTGAGTTCAAGTAAGCTGCCTGCCCTGGCCCCAAAGTGCTGGGATTACAGGCATGAGCCACCACACCTGGCCTAGTTAATACTAATTTTGTATAAGCTATGGGTAAACTAGCAGTTTTGGATTTCTTTTGACATTTTCAGTAGGCTTAAAATCATCACAAAAATGATAAGTTTGTAAGGGTATCTAATGGCTGTTTCAAACTTTATAAAATAATAGAATAACTCAGATAATCTTTGGGAGAGCCAGACTCTGGGTTTGAACCTGCACAGTCAGAAACAATGTCCAAACTATGCCATGGAGCATCTCTGACAAATACCCCATTGATGTCCCCACTAGGTATGGACATTACAGCCTGCACTATCCCTACTTAGGTGCAGACACTATCCTGCACCATTATCACTGGCCACTAGATGCCAGTCTCTGCCACAGCACCTCAAAAGCTAGCTACCTTTTTAGCTTTTTACTGGAGTCCTTTAGTAGGTTATCTCATTTAATCCATAAAGCAACCTGGAGAAAGTGATTGCAATTAAGAGGTATGCCAGAAATATTTCAGTATTCTTTAGACCATGCCACATAAGCTCAGACAAGTTCAAATAGCTAGTATATAGCAAGTCTTTGGATTGCATTTGCAAAAATTCTGCATGCTCAGCAGTGCTAGGAAGCTCTATAAAATAAAATGATGGTGCAATGAAAAATCACCCCGGGGGGAGGGGGGAGGGATTGCATTGGGAGTTATACCTGATGTAAATGACGAGTTGATGGGTGCTGACGAGTTGATGGGTGCAGCACAGCAACATGGCACAAGTATACATATGTAACAAACCTGCACGTTATGCACATGTACCCTAGAACTTAAAGTATAATAATAAAATAAAATAAAATAAAATAAAATAAAAAAAAAGAAAAAAAAGAAAAATCATCCCAATGAGGTTAAAAAAGGAGATGCATCCAAAGAGTTCCTACCTAATGAATTTTCTGATTTTCAGATGTATATATATGTATGAAAGCTATGAGTGATCATGGACCAATACAACTGAAGAGAACAAGAGAATCTCAAGGTCACAGCAAAAAAAGTAAGATGCAGAAAGGATTGACATTTCCTGGGACTAAATGCATTTCACTTGTTTTAATCATAAAGTAAAACTTATTTGCTTCTGTCAGAAAAAAAAATACTGGAACTGTTGGAACTAATTTGGAAGCCCAAGATTGGTCAGATCATCCCGCAAATCCTTTTCTAGAAGAGTTCAGACTTAAACCTGTGGAGCGCAAATTGCTTAGCCTCTCTCAGTTCTGTTCAGTAATCACAGTGCATGCACTTTATGTCCCATATTGGGCTGTTGACAGATGACTCAAGGAAGGCTCTATCCTCATGGAGCTTATAAACCAGTGAGAACAGACACATACATAAATTCATAGTTGTAAAAGGCCACAAGTGCAACAAAAGTTACAGGTAACTTGCAGGCTCTAAGCTTACTGTGAGGCAGTCAGAGGTGGCTCTTTGGAGAAGACAAGGCTTGAACCTTAAAAGATGGGCAACTGCATAACCAAACTTGTAGCATAGCTTATGCAGGGAGGTGCAAGTATAATATTAGTAGAGGGTAGATTTCAGTTGGACAGGCAGATAGTGGTTAAATCATACAAAAGAATTTGGGAGTTTTGCCTGTAGGTAGGTGATGGGGAATCTGAAGGATTTCAAGTGGTAAATGTTTTCATTTTATTTCATTTTATTTATTTGAGACAAAGTCTCACTCTATTGCCCAGGCTGGAGTGCAGTGGCTCAATCTCGGCTCACTGCAACCCCTGCCTCCCAGGTTCAAGTGATTCTCCTGCCTCAGCCTCCCGAGTAGCTGCGAGTAGAGGCATGCGCCACCATGCCTGGCTAGTTTTTGTATTTTCAGTAGAGATGGGGTTTCATCATGTTGGCCAGGGTGGTCTCGAACTCCTGACCTCAGGTGATCCACCCGCCTCAGCCTCCCAAAGTACTGGGATTACAGGCATGAACCACTATGCCCGACCTAAATGTTTTCATTTCAGATGGGTCTGACAGCCTAGGGGAAACTGAGGATAAGAGGGGGAGAATGGGGCAGAGAGCAACTCAGAGTAACAGATAGTATGGACAATTGTTAAATTATGGGGAAGAGGAAGGTTAGAGATAAGCAAAAGTACCTTTTTTTTTTTTTTTTTTGGGAGACAAAAAACTGGTAGAAAGGCCACCGCAGCCAGCTAATGGTTTGTATTTTTAGTAGAGACGGAGTTTTGCCATGTTGGCCAGGCTGTTCTCGAACTTCTGACCTCGGGTGATCCGCACGCCTCGACCTCCCAAAGTGCTTGGATTACAGGTGTGAGCCACCTTGCCTGGCCAAAAGTACCATTTTAAATAAAAGGAGGAATTCTGCCAATACAAATCTGTGAGCTTGCCATGGGTCACTTGGTTACAAGTGACAAACCCATTAAACTGCCTATAGTGCTTATTTCCAGCATTGCTGGTTTCCAGCTGTACAAGCAAAGTCAAACATTTATTTGTTTCCTTTTATCTATTTTCTTCTTTGTCTTGCTTCATTTCCAAAGTAGCTCTCCCTGCATTGTTGCAAAGATGGTTGCCAGCAACTCCAGCCTTTCTACCAGCTTAGCAACATAGCGGAAAAAGATCAATGTCTGGGAACAACAGACACTGGGGAATACAAGACGGGGAAGGAGGAAGGGGGTAAGGGTTGAAACTACCTGTTGGGTACTATGCTCATTACCTGAAGGACGGATTCGTTCATACTCCCAACCTCAGCACCATGCAATATACCTCTGTAACAAGCCTGCATATATACCCCCTGATTCTAAACTAGAAGTTGCAAAAGCTATATACCTCTGTAATAAGCCTGCATATATACCCCGATTCTAAACTACAAGTTGCAAAAGCAATATACCTCCGTAACAAGCCTGCATATATATCCCGATTCTAAAACAGAAGTTGCAAAAGAAAACGATCCATTTGTTTTTTTATTCTTTGAGACAGAGATTCGCTCTGTCGCCCAGGCTAGAGTGCAATGGCGCCATCTTGGCTCACTGCAACCGCCGCCTCCCGGGTTCAAGCGATTCTCCTGCCTCGGCCTCCTGAGTAGCTGGGATTACAGGCATGCACCACCACGCCCGGCTAATTTTGTATTTTTAGTAGAGACGGGGTTTCACCATGTTGGTCAGGCTGGTCTCGAACTCCTGACCTCAGATGATCCACCTGCCTCGGCCTCCCAAAGTGCTGGGATTACAGGCATGAGTCACCATGCCCCGCCAGGATCCATTTCTTTAGTTCCAGAAAAGTCCCTCTACCAACTCTCATTGGTCTGGCTCAGATCATGGGGCCAACCCTAAGCCAATCTCTGATTAGCCAGACTTGGGTCCTGTTTACATTCCTAGAGCTGGGGATGGGTGTGCCTCATCTAAAGCATGCTGTCTGAAGAGCAAGGGAATGGTTTACCACTACTACCCTGCTTGAGAAAAAACATTTTTTGACAGTTTAAATTGCATCATTGACCGCAATGAAGAAAACTTAGAAGTTAGCAAATCATCTGTAAACATTTTAAAGGAATGAAGCAGAAAATGTAAGACAGGCTAGTAATTGATCCAAAGGAGAAATTCTGAAGGCCAGAAGATAGGAGTCAGCTAATACTGTAATGAATAATTTAGATAATATCCATATAGAACAACTGTAGGTCCAATCCATCCAAGTGCAACGCTGAAGGGACGTATTGATCGCATAGGCCAGAATGTTGGCAAAAAGCTGATAAATCCTGCAGGGTGCCACCTGACCACGTGCTGCAAACAAATAACAGCTATAGAGAGGAGAGGCTTGGTTCAATTTCGGTCTTGACTGGTCTGAAGACTCCAGAGGCGGGACGAATTTGCGGACAGTTCTACCCCATCCCACATGGCGTCAGCTTCCCTTCCATTCTCATGACTCCATGGTCCATGGCTCCAACCTGGGCCTCTGTTAGGCTGTGTCCTGTGGCACCTTAAACTCAGGCAAATTAAAAACTGTTCGTGGACTCTACTGAGCTCCCACCTAACCCTCCATCCAAGTCATTGTCCAAGCCAGAAAAGGGAGTCATCTCAGATACCTTTCCCACCCTCACCCCACATGCAATCGCTGGATTCCATTCACCTCCCAAGTGTCTCAGTTCATTCTTCCATCCCTCCCGCCACTGGTTTAGTTAGGCACCTCCATTCTCACCTGGACCATCGCTGTAGCCTCGGAGCTTCTGTCTGTGTCTCTGGTTGCAGCCCCTACACGCCCTCCTCACAGGAGCAGAGCGATCTTTCTAAACTGTGAATCAAATCCTTCCAGCACCTGGAGCGAAGGCCAAGCTCCTCAGCTTAGAAGCTAGGCTGCCAGCATGTGGAGTGGGAATGGAAAAGTACATCGGGGCACGAGGGGTATTCGGATGAGGGAAGGCCAGTATCGGTCGCTGAGACCTTAGAGTGTTTCCGAGCTGAGGAGGAAGATATTCACGCGGGCAAGGGGACCCCATCCGTGAAACAGGCCCTGGGGAGGCTGAAGGAGCGCGGCGCGAGCGAAGGCAGAGGGCGGGGCCCCGAGGCCGGCAGGCGCTGCAGTGTCGGGGGTGGCTAGTCAGCCAGGGCCAGGGGAGGCCTGGGCGGGGTCGGGAGGCCGGCAGCCTCCGGGGGCGGAGCCAGGCGACAGGAGGCCTCTGGGGCGGGGCCTTGAGCTCTGGGGCGGGGCCTGGAGGCTGATGGCCTCCGGGCGGCAGGGGGCAGCCTCTCCCAAGGCGGCGGCTCTCGGTTCCCTGCTCCGCGTCTTTCGGGCATACAGTGACCTCGGGCGGCGGGTCGCGTCGGCCGGGCATGGCGGCATGGAGCCCGGCCGCGGCAGCGCCTCTGCTTCGCAGGATCCGCGGGGTGAGCGCGGGCAGGGTCGGGGCTGCTCTCCCCGGGACGGGAGCTGCGGAGGGACAGCGGGTCCGGCGGCTGTCGGGGCTTGAGGAACAGCTCCCGGAGGGCGCGCGCAGCACCTGCAATGGGGGGCTCCTCTTCCTTTCTCTCATTCATTCATTCTTTCGTTCATTCATTCACTCAGCGATAACGGCATTCGAAATTTCAAGCTCCGGCGCGCTCTGGGGGAGCTCCCGAGCTGGGTGGAGGTTGAAGGTCAGACTGACGAACACATGAACAGTCATAGTACAGCGGGCAAAGGATTGATTTACGGAGCAGAAGAGAGGAGTCATAGCCCCAGAGTCAAGGCGTGGGTGCGGGGGACTGCAGCGGGGCCGGGGCCTTGGGAAGGTCGACTGGGCCTCTGACCTTGATCCTCCTCCAAATCCCACACTACCGGAGCAGAACCCAAGCAGGGGGCACTTCCCACGCGCTGTCCCAATCTCTCCGCGTTTCTGATCCATCCTTTGCTTCAGCTCATACCCTTCTTTCTCTTTCCTTTCATTTTCCTTCTCCCCTGGTTCTGAACCTGCTTCCCCTGTGCATGAAAAGAAGTTCTTCCACTGCGGTGACTTTCAGCGTGGACAGTGATCATCTGGGGATGTCAGTTGATTTTCCACTAAAGGCCGCTGCCCACAGATCCACTAAGATAAAAGGCGTCTCCCAAGGATTCTGCAACGCTCACCACTCTCACCCCTTAGTAGCTGCCGATTCTGCCTGCCATCTGGTTACTCTCCGCCTTTACCCCCAAGATTGTGCCCCCAGAAGCAGCTCCATCCCACCCTCACTCCCAGCAATCCTGCTCAGCCTCTGAACATCAAGTTTCTGTCCCTCCATACAGACCATCACACTCTGGGCCTTTCTCCTGTCCTGCATTTCTGTCCCTAATTGAATAGTTCTTCCCCTGCTCATTCATTCATCCAGCACCAAGTGCCTCTGAGAGCCTGCCCTGGGGTCAGCTCTGGGATGCTGCCGGACTCATTTCTGGCCTGTAAGACCAGTGGTGAGAGAGCCAGTGCACAGCTCATTTTAAAGGAGTGGTGCTCTGAGATTCTGTGACACAGGACCCTGCTCTGAGCTATCAGGAAGGACTGAGGGGTAGAGGGGTGGGACCTTCAGCACCAGCACCCATGAACGGCCCTGGTGTCCTCCAACCTGTCATCTACGTCTAGTCAGGGACCAGTGCCCGGTGCTTCCATCATTGTAATGCCTCTTACTTGGGCATCTCTCCTGACTCGCTCCTGAAGGCACTGTTTCCTGCAGGTTACTTTGGTACCATGAAACTGGGTTCCATCACCTGGAGTCCCATCTCCTGTCTGATACAGTCCACAATATTTAGCCTGGCATTCAAGGCCTGCCACACTCCATTCCCAGTCTGCCTTTTCAGCATGCACTCAGCCCAGCCAAGTGACTGCCGACCTGCTTTTCTGCTCCTTCACTACTAAATGTTGAGATGTGTTCCATCAGAAACACGGGCTCCCCTGGCCAGGCGCGATGGCTCACGCCTGTAATCCTAGCATTTTGGGAGGTTGAGGTGGGTGGATAACCTGAGGTCAGGGGTTCGAGACCAGCCAGGCCAACATGGTGAAACCTTGTCTCTATTAAAAATTCAAAAATTTGCCTAGCATGATGGTGGGTGCCTGGAATCCCAGCTATTCAGGAGGCTGGGGCAGGAAAATCACTTGAACCTGGGAGGTGGAGGTTGCAGTGAGCTGAGATCGTGCCACTGCACTCTAGCCTGGGTAACAGAGCAAAACTCTGTCTCCAAAAAAAACACAACCATAGGTTTCCCCATGGTAGCCATTGGGGAAGGGGTGTTGTTGCCAGTGGTAAACAACCTACAGATGTTCTTTCTTCAGGTTCTTTCATAGAATTCTGACTTTGCTCCCCAGTGAGAAGGAGTACATGATGAAGAATAGCTGGCTAATTGAGCACTGGGCTGTGAGGTCACATCCCACTGGGGAGGGCGAGACATGTTAATCAGGCCTAAAGGAGATGGGAGTGTGGAATTTGGCCCCACCATCCAGGGCAGTAGATGCTGAATGACCTAGTGGTATGGATCTGAGGCAGGTTGTCTAGCTTTTCTGGCTCTATCTTCTTAACGAATTCTACCTTGGGCACATTACTGTGTGCCTCAGTTTCCTTACCTATAAAACTATCGGCATAATAGTGTCACACGACATTATCATGAGGAATCGAACATCTCTTGAATTAGGTTTGGGGCCTCTTGTCTCTGGAGTCAAATTGAGTTATTAACAATCATCCTCTCCCCGCCAATAAAAGTTTATTCTGTGTTCCGGGGCACTTGCATGGACTCCTGATACCACAGAGCCCCTCTGACATAACCCATGGCTATGCTGGCGAGGGCTCAGGGGCCTGCCTTGCAGGGGAATGGCAGGCAGCCCTGCACAGTGGCCCAGCTCGGGGCAGCAGCATCTTCCTTTGCCCTGACCTTCCTCTCTGTTCTGTGGCAGCTTCCACTTCACCATCGGATGTTTGCCACCCAGACTGAGGGGGAGCTCAGAGTGACCCAAATTCTCAAAGAAAAGTTTCCACGAGCTACAGCTATAAAAGTCACTGACATTTCAGGTAAGGTTTCTCTCATTCTTCCCATGGCACTTTGATAAGATTTTGCCCTTTGGAAGGACAGAGGGTCAGGGGCTTGGAGGAGGGGGCTTGCTGCTGGTGAGTGGCTTCTCAAGATGTGTTGCTGCTGGACAGATGGAGCTCGGCTGCCCCCACCTCATGGGATGGCAGTCAGGATTCAGAAACATCAGAGGGAAACTGAGGACAAGGCACAGTTGGGAGGACTCAAGGTTGCCAGCCTGGCTCAGCTCGGACAAGGTCCCTCTCTGTCACCCCAGAGCTCAGGTCCACAGTCTGTCATTTGACTTCGAATAGGTTTTGCTTTCATTTTCCCCCATTCTTCTGATGCCCTAGGATAGCAGAGCTGGAGTGGACCCCAGAAAGGTTTTCTTCAGCTGCCTTACTTTCCCCAAGAAACGAGCCCAGAGAGGCCAAAGGAACTGCCCAGTTCCTCACAGGGAAGAGACAATGGAACTGGAACCAGAACCAGGACTCAGGGGAGACCCTGTCCTAAGGCCAGTTACCAGCCCCAGCCAAGCTCTGTCCTTCTCAGGCGGCCACTGGCACCTAGAAGTTCAGGCTGGCAGTGTGTTAGGAGCAGGCTGGAGAAGCAACTTCTGCACCCGCAGGATGGGGAAGATAGGCCCTTTATCCACACATACACACGCACATAGACACAGAACGACCCGTGGCATGGGCCGCTGGATAGGCATCAGCCTGAATCTCTCCACACCCAGAAGCAGCCTTTGCCACTCAGCATTGCCACAAGGGCTCACTGACTTTACTGAGAACATAACATTTCCAAGGATTGGGGAGAAAGTTTAGAAAGTAGATTCTATTCTGGAAACTACAGGGAATAAAATGATCTAAAGATCTGCTGGAGTTTGGGCGCAGTGGTTCACGCCTATAATCCCAGCACTTTGGGAGGCTGAGGCAGGTGGATCACGAGGTCAGGAGTTCAAGACCAGCCTGGCCAACATGGTGAAACCCCATCTCTACTAAAAATACAAAAATCAGCTGGCGTCTGGTGTGCACACCTGTAGTCCCCAGCTACTCAAGAGGCTAGGCACCAGAGACTATGCCTTGACACCCCAGGGAGGCAGACGGTTGCCAATAGCCCAAATTCGTGCCGCTGCACTCAGCCCTGGGTGACAGAGTGAGACTGTGTACTTCCGAGAAAAAAAAAAATCTGGCTGGCGGGGCACAGTGGCTCATGTTCTGTAACCCCACACTCTGGGAGGCTGAGGCACGGTGGATACCTGAGGTCAGGGAGTTTGAGAACCAGTCCTGGGCCAACGTGGTGAAACCCATCTCAACAGAAATACAAAAAAAAAAATTAGCCGGCATGGTGGCGGATGCCTGTAATCCCAGCTACTTGGGAGGCTGAGGCAGGAGAAATCGCTTGAAACCCAGGAGGCAGAGGTTGCAGTGAGCTGAAATTGCACCCACTGCACTCCAGCCTGGGCGACAAGAGCAAAACTCCGTCTCAAAAAAAAAAAAAAAAAATCTGCTGGAATGGTACATCAGGTGAGGCTTTGGCAGGGGTCTTGGGACAAATGCTGAGGCCTTGATGTTACCAGGTCCTGAACTTGCCCCAGGCCCAGGGCAGAGTTAAAGCTTGATCCAGCTCTGGCTCTGCGCAGTCCTGGACAGAGTGCAGAAGGGGAGTTGAGGCTGAGAACCTGGGTTTAACCAAAACTTGGACTCTCTAACATTATAAGAGAAACAACAGGCCAGGCGCGGTGGCTCACGCCTGTAATCCCAGTCCTTTGGGAGGCCGAGATAGGCAGATCATGAGGTCAGGAGATCGAGACCATCTTGGCTAACATGGTGAAACCCCGTCTCTACTAAAAATACAAAAAAAAATTTAGCCGGGCATGGTGGCGGTCGCCTGTAATCCCAGCTACTCAGGAGGCTGAGGCAGGAGAATGGCATGAAGCCAGGAGGCAGAGCTTGCAGTGAGCCCAGATCGCGCCACCGCACTCCAGCCTCGGTGACAGAGCAAGACTCCATCTCAAAAAAAAAAGAAGCAGAACAAAGCCTGTGGAGTACAGTGCACCTCTCGTACAATGGCCTGGCTGTGTTAATCATGCAGGGGACATTTTCTTGCCCGTGTTATTTCATGCTAGAGCTATGTGTTTATCATCATTCATCAGCACCAGCTCTCCAACCAGGTGGAGGAAAGCTCAGGCAGGCGGTGGATGGTCCACCAAGCTCTGGCTCGAGGGCTTCACCAAAAAGTTCTCCCCCAAAACCCAGGATGAAACCCTGGATGCTGCGCTGTGGACCCAGCAGTGCTAGAGATAGCCACGAGCAGCTCCATGCATAGCATGTTTGCTGTGTCCCCGGCTCTCATGCTCCCCTGGTTCTTTCTTTTCTTTGGATAGTATTACACAGTTTTCAAACCAAATTGTGGTGTATTTTTGCCCTTCAAAAAAAATGGTCGTCGGTCCTTTGGAAGGTGGAACACTGAAATTCCATCCTTCTCATCCTCTTCTGTGGTGTTTATTGGCCTCGTGAAGGGAAACTCTCTCCACTCCCTAGGTTGTCCATGCTTTATGCCTTATCTTTCCTGCCCACAAGTGATAACCCTGGGTGGTGCAGCTGCCTCGCAAAAGGAAGAGCACATTTTGGATTGTGGCAACCTGTCAGGAGGAGCATGTGGTCAGATTGGAAGCCATGATCTTTTCCTAATGGTCTTAGCAACTTTCCTTTGTGCTGAATGATAATATTCAGACCTTTGGATTGTACAGTACTTCGAGGACATATGGGACCATGGCTGCCATGACTTAATAATTGAAATGCTTTTGAATCGTGTTTATTTTAGGAGGTTGTGGGGCGATGTATGAAATTAAAATTGAATCAGAAGAATTTAAGGAGAAGAGAACTGTCCAGCAGCACCAGATGGTTAATCAGGTCAGTAGAGGCAACAGTGCCCCTTGCCACTGGCCTTCAGCCTCCAAAAGGGCCTGCCAAGCATGGATGGTGGTTTTTGCTATCAGTTGCAGGAAAGAATAATGCAGTACCACAGTCACGAAACAGGACTCAAGACCTGAGAAAAATTGCATCTGGGAGTATCTGCATTGTGGCAAATAGGAATTTTATTCAAAATTGAAGCCAGGCCTCCCAATAGTGATTTCGTATGTCCTTGTATAATGCTACTAATGTTTACTGTTATTGTCACATATTGATGAGGATATCTAAACACAGACAGTGCTAAAAGATGCGTGTTTTTGTAGATCTGAAGAGGGGTTTTTGGCCTGTCTTTGGGACCGCTTTACAGATGGGTGAGTTGGTGCATGGCGTGAGTGAGAATGGCTGCAGCTGCCCCAGACCCACTGACAGAACATTTGGGTTCTGGAACATCATGGTCAACCAGCCTAAGGCTCAGTTTAAATATTATCCATATTTATTTTAATTGGAACTTATAACAACTTTGACCCTTGTTCCTGTACCTATGACTTTGCCCCTCACTGGGTGTGTTTGGCATCATTCTGGAAGGTCTTGCCATTGTGAACTAGTGTTATTTTTGTAAAGCACAGCACTGGTAATGAGCGTCTGTTCGGTGGCCTCTCATGCATCAAGTTCAGGTGTCCTAGACTGCTGTTCACGCATTTCCCCCGCCCTTCTCTGTGTGCACCCTCCCAGCCGGCCTCTGCCTGCTGGTCTCTCTCTATCTGGGCGTTTGCCCAGAATGGACCTCCTGCCTGGGTTGCCCTTCCTTCCGTCCTCCACTCAGCTCAAATGCTGCCTCCCCTCCCTCCCCAGCAGGGAATGAATGCCCTTCCCCCACCCTCCCTGGCTCCCTTTTTTGGCTGTTGCTGGTTTCCGTTTGTGTCCTGAAAACTGACATTCCTGCTGTCTGCAGGACAGTTGACCCTGCAACCTGTCAGCCCTCTGTGGACCAGTGCCCTTTGGGATCCATCTTTGTGTTTCTCATGGAACCTAGCCCTTTGCAGTGGATGTGACCCCTACAGCCCTAAGGCATGCTGGTGGTCTGCTGGGTGCTCCAATCACTGAGCCCTCCTGGAAACTCTTCCAGGCCCATGTGATCTCTGGGGTCAGAATCAAGGTAGAAGACGAGACAGGGAAGACCTGGCTGACCCAGATGATCCCCAACCCGTGGCACGTTGGGTTTTATTCTCAGATCTCTGTACAAGCCACCTGGTGAGACTGGACCCACGGGTGCTGGTAATTTTGAGTGTGTCCCTTGGCCTGAAGCCACAGTTACAAGTGGCTAAGGAAGCAGATTCTGCAATTGGACTTCCCACTTTCAAATCTGGGCTTTGCTACTTTCTAGCCATGTGACCTTGAGCAAGTTTTTCAACCCTACCCTTTGCCTCAGTTGCCTAATTGAGAGTAACAGTGCTTGCTTCAGAGCGTTGCTGTGAGGATTCGTGATAAAGTACACATTCAGCACTGACAACAGTGCCCGACACAGAGTAAGCCTTTCATAAATGTGACCACCATCACCATCATTGTCATCTCCAACACTGGAAGGAAGCTGCAGCCGTCTGGGGTGGGGAAAGGCTGTGATTCCCACAGTTTGGGGGAGTGTCAGCTCACGGTCTTGGGATTAAAGTGTCCTCTGGTCCCCTACAGCAACATGTGCCTCTCCTCACACTTCCTGAGTAGACAGCCCAGCCACTTGTCCTTCATTTCCCCTCGAAAGCAGGCTTAGTGCAGGGCGGGGCTGTGTCCCCCACACCTAACAAAGGACCTGGCACATGGAAGGAGCCCAGTCAGTATCTCTAGGGAGTTTGCAGACAGTGAGGAGAGTTGGCTTGTGTTTTCTTATTGGCTTACCCATAGAGATTAAATTTTAGTATCTCAAAGGCGCTCCGTTTTGGAGAACTCACATCCTGACATTGGGGCACTTGTAAAAATATATACTTTTTTTTTTTTTTTTTTATTCCCATGGAGTCTCACTTTGTCACCCAGGCTGGAGTACAGTGGCGCTATCTTGGCTCACTGTAACCTCTGCCTCCTGGGTTCAAGCAATTCTCCTGCCTCAGCCTCCCAAGTAGCTGGGATTATAGGCACCCACCACCACGCCCGGCTAATTTTAGTATTTTTAGTAAAGACAGGGTTTCACCATGTTGACCAGGCTGGTCTCGAACTCCTGACTTCAGGTGATCCACCTGCCTCGGCCTCCCAAAGTGCTGGGATTACAGGCATGAGCCACCATGCCTGGCCTTAAGAATATTCATTTTTATATTTATATAGAGATGAGGTTCCACTATGCTGCTCAGGCTGGTCTTCAACTCTTTGGCGATCTTCCTGCCTCGGCCTCCCTAAGTGTTGGGATTACAGGTGTGAGCCACTGCGCCCGGAGCAGCTGCGTCCTGAGTTACTCTAGAGGCCTCTCCTCCACTCCCAGTCAGAACAGCCCTTCTGGCTCAGGACTTGGGGTGTCATGCAGCTCCACACTGGGTGTCTGCAGGCAGCTAACATGAGGGGGTCCCCTGAGCCTGGCCACAGTATATTCTTAGGGGGCTGACACTTGTGTTAAAATATATGGACTTGGTCATAGGCAATTTTAGATGATTTAAGTTTGGGGATGTTGGCTTTGACAGTCGCATGAGAATGATGAAAATGAAAATCTTCAGGAGCAAGTCTGTTGGCTGGCAGGGTCTGAGCCGGGACCTGGAGCTGCCCTGCTCAGGACAGCTGTTGGGAATGGGATTCTGACAGGCACTGCCCTAAGAGAAGGCAGAGACCTGGAATCAAGGGGAAGGCAAGGCGGTAACTGGACTCCACTCCCAGGGCCAGCTGGTCTCTTCAGGTGTGAGGTAGGGGTGGGGTAGGTGCCCCATCCAGATGCTCTCATGCCCAGGCTGTTTGGGTGGGGGGCTGGTGTCCTGCCGGAGTGAAGCTTGCCTCATCTATTTTGCCTACTCACCCTGTGCGTAGTAATGTTCATCCTGGTGCTATAGAATCAGAATTTTCTGTCCAAAAGGCCTGAAAATGTCACCCAACCCATCCGATACTGGCATCCCTCCTGAGCTTCCCATCAGACGGTCCCTGTGGGATTCCCTGGAGGGGGCCCCCCCTGCCGGCACCCTCAGGAGTGGACTCGTTCCTCTGGGACCCTGCTGCACGGGGCTTGGCCTCTCCCAGGCCCCAGTGCATCTCTTGGGAAATACTCACTGGGCATTTGCTGTGGGCCAGGCCCCAGGAGGCGTAGATACTGAGGGTTCTGTACCAGGAGCACCTCCCTACCTGTCCTCCTGCCATCCTGGGGAGGTGGCAGCAAGGGCAGAGTAGGTAGTCGTGGTGAGCACTGAGTTGCCTTTTGAGGTGGACAGAGGTGAGATCTGAGCCTCATATTGGCAAATATTGCATGAGGCATTGACCACAGGTGCCCAGCGTCGTGCCGGCCACGTGGAAGGCAGCTGCTAAACAGTTATTGCCGTCTCCCCGCCTCCGGCCTCTTTTCCAGCTTTGGGGATTACCCTCCCCTAAGGCGCCTCCACCAATGTCTTTCCCCTGCTCAGAGCCTTTACATGGCTCCCCTGCTTGCCCAGAATCCAGTCCAGTCTTCCTAGCCTGGGATTGACCATCCTTCATGTGATCTGCCTCAGTCTCCCTGACATGTGCCTACCTCAGTGAATCACGGGAGCTTCTCAGCCTCTCCTCACTTTCTGTCCTGGGCCAGATGCCCTGTCACTCTTGCCTGCTCTATTTCTGGCTGTCCAGCTCCAGGGCTGCCTCCTGTGTGCGGCCCTTGTGCGTCCACCCTAGTCACCAGTGCAGTAGCTTACCTCGAACACCAGAAGCAGGGCTGTACGGGCTGGAGTCTGGCAGGCCACTGCTGCCCGCATTCAGTCCATTGGTGTTGGACTTGTGCTACTTTCTCTTACCTTTTTCATTACTTTCCCATGCCGTTTCCTCTGTGTCCCCAGCACCTGCTATAGTGCTGTGGGCATGGCAGGTGCTTAAGATTGTTTATCTAAGCTGCTTCTTATTACCTATGGGACTTCAGCCAAGTCACTTCCCTCAGCAGGGCCTGTTTCCTTAACTGTGGAGTGACCGAGGTGATCTCTAAGACCTTGTGTGGCTGTAAGGGACTGTAGTGTGTATTGGGAAGTCCTCAGGGGCTGCACAGAATGCAGGGAGAAGGCATCAGGGAGGCGGAGTGTGCAGGGCCTGAGGGGGTGAAGCCCAGAAGGTTCCTCTGTCCAGGGTCAGTCACGTGAAGGTGTGACGTCACCCAGCCAAGTGGACGTAAGGAGGAGAGGCTGGTTGTGGCCCAGGCACAGACACAGTCTCTAGGGAGCATTCCACGCCTGCAGAGAGCAAGTGGCCCAGGGACCTTCGCCCAGTGATAGGAGGCTTTTTCCAGGGACATTTCTGCCTGTTTGCGGAGTTGAGGGCCCTGCACTTGATTGTGGAGTTGGAGGGTGTGCAGTGTAGGCCAAGTGGGGCAGCTCATTGTCCCCCAACACAACGGGAGCTCCTGGATCAGGGCAAGTCAGGAACATGATGGAAACCAGGTGTGGCCAGGACCTCAGGATACCTGGGTTCATATCCTGATTCCATTACTCATTTGTCTGCCGACTTTGGCAAGGAGTAGACTCTTTTTTTTTTTTTTTTAAAATAAAATACAGGGATAGGACTAGATTGTATCTAAGGATCTATAAACCTGACCACATATATTAGGATTCTTTATGTTGTAAGTGACAGAGACCAAGTTAAAATTAGCATGAGCAAACAAAGGGAATTATTTGGCCCATGTAACAAAATTATCTGGTTTCTGGTATATCTAGATTCCTGTCTCTCTCTCTCTCTCTCTCTCTCTCTCTCTCTCAGCTTTCAGCTTCTTTCCCTGTGTTGGTCTCCTTTTCTCATGCTAAAGATGGGCTTTCTTTCCTTGGTGGGAAACATGGTCCATGGCCACCTCCAATTGATATCATAGCATATTGGCCCAAGACACAAGGCTCCACTCTCAAAAATCCCAAGGGAGATTCTAAGTGGCCCAATTTGGGTCATGTGCCACCCCGGTCCAGTCATAGGCTGGGCCAGTGGCACATCATGACCTCAATATCAGACCAATTGGTAGTTCCACCCGAAGTGTACAATAAAGTAGAAAAGGGATTATTACCAAGAGAAGGAGCTCACTAAACAGACTGGAAGAGAAAAATGTCCACTCTACTATGATCATCAGATTTTGGCCTAGTATAAAAGGATCTTATTTTTCCTCTGTACTGATTATAAACTTGAGAGGTCCAAGCCCCTCTCTGATTCTGTAACCTCTCTCCCAGCACTACAGGGGCCAGATATCTATTTGACTCTGGTGGTTCCTTCAGATTTGGGCTCTGACACCATTTGTAGCCTGAAAACAAGTCCCGTAATTCCTTTGAAACTTTATTTCCTGCTCTGACCATTGGGGAATTTGTGCTAATTGGTATGATTTTAAAGAACAGCTCATTTTAAAGAATGCTTGATGCTCGAAATAACAAAATACAGGAAGCAGCCTAAAAGTTCACTCGGGGACAGGTTGAAAAGTTATAATACATTCATATAATGGAATACTATGCTGATGCAAAAACGAATCAGGACACCCATACATGCCTAACATAGAAAGATCTCCAAGGTAGATGTTTAGGGGTGGAGCAAAGTGTAGAGCAGGGGTGTCCAATCCTTTGACTTCCTTGGGCCACACATAAAATATACTAACACTAATGATAGCTGATGAGCTTTAAAAAAAAATTTTTTTTTAATCTCAAAATGTTTTATGAAATTTTACGAATTTGTATTAGGCCGCATTCAAAGCTGTCATGGGCTGGGCCGTGGGTTGGACAAGCTTAGTGTAATGTGTTTGAAATGTTAACCATTTGCATTTTAAAAGATCATGGGGTGAAATATATTAGCTTGAATATGCCTGGTGAATATGCATTTTTAAATCCCTGTAAAGATACACAAGAAACCGGCCAGGCACGGTGGCTCACGCTTGTAATTCCAGCACTTTGGGAAGCCAAGTCAGATAGATTGCTCCAGTCCAGGAGTTCAAGACCAGCCTGGGCAATATAGTGAGACTCTGTCTCTACAAAAAATAAAAAATTAGCCAGGCATGGTGGCCTGTGCCTGTAGTCCCAGCTACTAGGGAAGCTGAAGCAGGAGGATTGTTTGAGCCCAGGAGGCGGAGGTTGCAGTAAGCCGATATTGTACCACCTCACTCCAACTTGGGTGCTAGGGTGAGACCCTGACTCAAAAAAAAAAAAAAAAAAGAATACACAAGAAACTAACAACAGTTCTTTTGGGAATGGGGGGGTGGAAACTGGGAAGATGGACAGGTGTAGGAGGGAGACTTCCCTGTATGCCTTTTTGTACTTTTGGATCTTTAAATCATGTTAGATATTATTGATTAAAAAAATTGTTTTTCAGAAAAAGGAAAAATTGCTTAAACAAAGCACAAAGTCTCCTTCAGATGTAGAGCTGTATAAAAATACTCTCAGAGAATTACTGTAACCAATGTCAAATACACAAAAACTGATGATGCTGTTTTCTTACTTAGGCACTAAAAGAAGAAATCAAAGAGATGCATGGATTGCGGATATTTACCTCTGTCCCCAAACGCTGACCACGCCCTGGCTGCATAGATGCTGCTGCTTAAGACCTCGGATGAACTTGACTAGCATCATTCTTCCCTAAGCATTCACCAAAAAATTTATATATTTTGCTCATATACATTTCCATATTATAATTATAGAAGATGTATAATCTATTTAGATGTTAATTAAAGGAAACAAACAACTGAAGCTTTTGAAGGGTCATTAGTAATATTTCCGGTTCCTTTACTTTGGCCAAAGGGGTCTTGTCTTTAGACAGTTCTGTCCTGCTGCTACAGAGAGAGAATGCAGTGCCAGCTTTTTGTCTTGTGAAGAGGTTTTCCTGTTTCTTCCCCCCACGAAACTGCTGAGGCTTCTTCATCTTACTGAAACAAAGAAAAGATCCTTTGCTATTGCTGTTCTTTTCCTTTATCATTCTTTTCTTCCCCCTCTAAACTTCTTACGTGAATGATCTGGGACCCTCAATTTCTTATGCTGTGAAATGGACTCTGAGGATTTCGGGGTGCCAGGATCCGGGTTCTTTTCCTGTGTTCAAAGATCCTCCACCCCTTGATTCTTGGTAGGAGGCAGAGCCCACCTCCCACGACAGAAGCTGAAAAGGCTTGCTTTCCCTGCCTCCCTCACAGCTGAGGCACAGGCAGACGTTCCAGACTCAGCCAATCAGATGGACCTGCCCTGAACTTGGGAGCAAGTGACACTGAGGAGCAGGGACAGTGGGACATCCATTCCTGCTGCAGCCATGGCTACAACATCTGGTGTTCTGGATGGTGGTGGTGGCAGCTGATGGAGTGCTATAAGCTGCTATCTCTGGAGTCTCTGGTGGTGGTTGCGGTGTCTGTGGTTTGGGCTCCAGCCACGGAGCCTTCCTTGTCCCTGTTTTCAGCAGCTGGCCCGCCAGGGTTCCCAGACATCTTGTGACTGCCCCCACACCCTTTCATTAAATTATTTTCTGCTCCCATCAGCCAGCACCCCCGTTACCATGGCAGTGGGAGGTTGACCATCCACTCCTCTCTCACACTCCTTTGCCTTTCAAGGAACCGACCACCAGAGAAGTTAGCGGTCACTATTGGTTCTGAAGGTACCTCCCTAAGAAATGAGGACATGAAGATATAACAACCTTGGGCCCCAGGTTTTTGGGGGCAGAAAAAAATTTCAAATATTCTGTTCATATACTGTGCCCCCGTTTTGTAATTGTAACATATTCTCTGTCTGCACAGTGGGGTTGGGAGGGATTGGTACCTGCCAGGGGAGAACTGCCTTTCTTTTTTTTTTTTGAGATGGAGTCTCACTCTGTCGCCCCGGCTGGAGTGCAGTGGCCGGATCTCAGCTCACTGCAAGCTCCGCCTCCCGGGTTTACGCCATTCTCCTGCCTCAGCCTCCCCAGTAGCTGGGACTACAGGTGCCCGCCACCTCGCCTGCCTAGTTTTTTGTATTTTTTAGTAGAGACGGGGTTTCACCATGTTAGCCAGGATGGTCTCGATCTCCTGACCTTGTGATCCGCCTGTCTCGGCCTCCCAAAGTGCTGGGATTACAGGCTTGAGCCACCGCGCCCAGCGAGAACTGCCTTTCTTACAAAGTGTAGAGTCACTCAGTTGTATCAGAGCTGAGAAGGATGGGACAAAACAGAACTATGCCTGAAGGCCCGAGCCACCTCTGAAACAGCTAGACACCCCAGGGATGGCTTTCAGGTGATGTGGTGAGGAAACACCCAAGCTTGGAATCCCAGAGGCCAGCAGGATGGCAGTGGTCAGTGAGAATGGAGAGACCTCAAAATTAGATACACTGATTCCCTGCGTGGAACCTATTTGTCTTTCTCTTAAGAGTGGGCTCAACATAGTGATCTAAAGAACAGAATAGGCCAGGTGTGGTGGCTCACACCTGTAATCCCAGCACTTTGGGAGGCCAAGGGGTGGGGCGGGGGGCGTGGATCACAAGGTCAGGAGTTCGAGACCAGCTTGACCAACATGGTGAAACCCCGTCTCTACTAAAAATACAAAAATTAGCCAGGCATGGCGGCACGCACCTGT